TGCTCTACTATATCTCCATTCTACCTCCCTTCCTTTATAGTATCATTATATAACTTAAATTTACATATGTTATATACACAATAATGTCATTAATACTTTATTCAGTCATGTCTTTAAAAGAAGAAAAAAATGAGAAAACTGTATTTCTAAACTCTTTTATGTTAACTTATATTTAGATGTTTCTAGTGTTTTTCATTTCTTTTTGTGGATTCAAGTTAGCAATCGGTGTCATTTTCTTTTGAACTGAAGAACTATAAGGCGGGGTTCCTAGTAACAAATCATTTCAGCATTTGTTGATCTGGAGATGTCTTTATTTTGCTTTTGTTTTTGCTTAGTAGATTTTTTTTTTCATTAGAACTTTGCATTAATTATTCCACTGCCTCGGCTTCCATTGTTTCAAATGAAAACTCAGCCATTAGCCATACTGACTGTCTCCTATAATTGGTGAACCAATTTTCTCTTGTTGCATTCACAGTTTTCTCTTTCAACTATATGACTATAATGTGTATATTGTGGGTCTCTGTGTGCTTATAATACCTGGGATTTTCTGAAGTTTTTGAATCTGTAGATTAATGTTTTCATAAAATATGATTATGTTTTCAGACATTACTTCTTCATACATCTTCCTAGCTTCTCTTTTAGGACTCTCATTATAAGTATATTGGTTGCCCTCTGCAAAGATTGCCATTTCAACTGACAATATTGCTGGGCATAGGAGTCCCCTGCCTCTGCCTCCCAAGTAGCTGGGACTACAGGTACCCACCTTAGACAGAGCCTCAAGCTATCCCCCTGGATAGAGTGCTGTGGCATCACAGCTCACAGCAACCTCCAACTCCTAGGCTCAAGTGAGTCTCCTGCCTCTGCCTCCCAAGTAGCTGGGACCACAGGCGCCCACCACAACACCTGGCTATTTTTTTGTTGCAGTTGTCATTGTTTGTTAGTTGGCCTGGGCTGTGTTCAAACTAGCCTGGGTGTATGTGGTCGGCAACCTACCCACTGAGCTACGGGCGCCACCCCACATATAACATTATTGTTGAAATACTTAGATTTATGTTTTCTATGGTATTTGTTTTTCTACATGTCTTCTGTCTTTTTGGTCCCCTGTTCCTCTTTTAGTCACCTTCTTTTATGTTAAATAAATAAATATTTGTGATGCCTCATTTACTTCCTTTGTTGATATATATACACATATATAGATATGTATATATACATATGCATATGCACAATTTTCTTAGTAGTTACTTTAGGGATTGTAGTGTGCATTCTAACTAACCACAATCTGTTTCACAGTAACACTAACTTAATTCTGGTAAAATATAGAAACT